CCTCATCCCAACACCTACATATGTTATAATTAAATGGAAATAAGTTGTAAGTTTTAATGGTTTTTGCATGAAACCTTTTTTTGCATATGTATGCTCCTCAAGGCATATATATAAATATTACATAGATATGAAAGAGAGATGTCATGGTATAGGTATACATAAATAAGTGTAATTATTCTATATTTTATTTTTATGTATATCATAATTGTAAAATATTTTATAATATATTATACTTATTAAGTTTATAATTGATCAAAAAAAAATTATTGTGGTATTTTTTTTCTCCCTAAACACAATATTTTGTCCTTTGAATTGGAGTATGTCTTTGTAGTAAAGTTATCACTTCATTTCTCTTAAGGCTAGGAGGGTAACTAGAACCCTTGATCTTAATATGTAGTAAATAGTTGTCTCACCCTAAAATTAATACCCTTCAGTTAAACAGTTGTTGTAACGTAGTTTTAGGTGTCGAATCCATAGGGAAGCTATATTAAATCAACAAAAATAGTTGTCAACAATAAGAAATTAAATTAAAAGATAAATTCTAAAACTAAGAATAAAAATATTTAAATAAAAGATAATAATTATAAAAAATTGAAAACAATATTATGATGAATAAAACTTTAGGGTTCACTTAATTGATTTGTTTAACTGTTATAAATTTTGATTATTATTTATTATTCAATTGCATGTTTCATATCCCAAACAAACAATTTGAAGATTTAACTGTAAAGACTAATAATAACAACTAATGTATTTATTTTAAGAGAAATTAATTTCAATGAAAAACAAACTAATTTATCATTACGAGCTATTCGAGAGTGACAATATATTTAAGCGATAATATTGCAGTAAAGGATTAACCTGCAAAACAAATCTATCAATCAATTATATTCTAATAAATTACACATAAAAAGAGCATAATTAATCTTATATGAATTTTTATGAATATAATTTTTAGGGTTTTCAAATCTGAAAATAATTAATAATCTCTCAAAAATAAAATTAAACAATAAAATTTATGAAAGAATCAAAATAAAATAATAAGTTAAATCTTCAATCAAGATCTTTTTTAATCTTATTAAAAGTTTAGTTATCTTTTTGACATAAGATAGCAACATGAGAATTTTTTTTTTTTTCTTTCTTTACACAGAGTCTTGTCAGAGAGGGGTTGGAACCAAGGTTTTTAAAACCGAACCAGTTGTTGAACCATTTTTAGGTCTGTTCTTGGTTCAATTGGTTCAATCGATTGAACCGATGAACCAACCGATCCAAACGACAAGGGAAATCCAACGAGAGGAGCAGGCTACAGGCAGGATTTTCTAATTTGGTGTCTGATAATTTTGTAATTTTGTTAAAATTAAAGGTTAAAATGGGTATAAGAAAGGAATGGGGAGGGTAAAATTGGAAAAAATGAAGGAAGATTGCATGAGAAATTGAACCGATGGTTTTTTCGGCTCCACCGGTTCCATCGGTTTCACTGGTTTTGATCGGTTTTTGACCAATTTTGACATCAAACGGTTTTTTCATGTAAACAAAACCATTTTCATCACCTAGTCCCGATCCGACCGGTTCAACCGACTGATCCGGTCCGATTTTAAAAATCTTGGTTGGAACCTCAATGAAGGTGCGAAACCCCTATGTTTCTGTTTTGTGCAACATTGCCCAGGGGTTGGAACCTGGAACAGGTTGCGGAACCCTTGATGCTACTGGAATTCCTTTCGCGTTGGTCACGGCAACTTCACGAAGGTCACGGCAACTTCACGGACTTGCTAACTTTGCTCTTAATCAAATATGGAGAAATTTCACTCTAGTTTCAAAGTTCTAGATTTATCTTTGGATCCTCATTTTTTCAGCTCTTTGCATTTAAGTCCTTTTCTTCTAATTCTTCTCCATTTAACATCAAACCTTTAA